GTTGGGGGCAATATGCTGACTCTGTAAACTGGTTAGAGAGGGCTGAAAGCCCTATGAAGCGGTATATAAGTCTAACTGCTATTGCTATTGCTATTGCTATTCATATAGAATTTCACAGCCAGGAGTTGTTGTTTTTTCCAGAACTTGCCATACTAGCTTAATATGTTCTTCTAGCAAAGGCATCCACAAACTACCACCCGTCAATGCAAAGAATTCAGCCTGTGGAGTGGTGGGTTGAAAAGCAGCTGCCAGCTAGTGCTTTAAAAGCCTTTAAAGGTGCTTTAAAAACAGCCTTTCAGATGCTTTTCACAGCCATGTGATCCAGGGCTGGTGGGTGAGCAGGGAAGGGGCTGCTTTTAAACTAGCACTTTAAAAGTGTGGGGTGGAGTGCGGGTCGGGGTTTAGCTTTTTCAAAATCAGCTGAAGTTGGCTAATACTAATTCAAATGCAACCACAGTATAATGCCTGAAAGAGAATATATTCACTGCTTTATATAAAGTACATCCACCAAATTGGTTGTTAAACAATTGTGGTATATATTCATGTGCGTATATACACATGCACAAGTATGGCAAAAAGCAAATCAGTTTGTGAATTCTCCCCCAGGCTTAAAAGACCTTTAGCCCTGTAATCCCAAATAATCAGGCCCACACTTCTCATTGAATTAATAATATATTTATGTTGGTTAAAGTTGTTCTTCATTTTAAATATCATATTATTTCATGTTTTTTGCAGTACAAATAAAGGTATGTGCAGTGTTCATAGAAATTTGTTCACACTTTTTTTCAAACTATAGTTCAGCCCCCAACAGTCTGAGGGACCACTATGCCTCCTTAATTCACCATTGGAGCTCTATGTGTGTATGTGTGTGCGTGCTGATTCTTGCCTGCTTCCAATGTCTCTCAGTGCCCATCTTGAGGCTTTTAGTTGCAGTCTTACTTGGTGCAGTTCTCAGTTTTATTAATTGTGTGGTCATCTGAAACATATGATCAGGAGTTATTTTGAAGGAAATCCTGTATGTTTTATTCTTTTTTTAATGGCCTATTTTAAGGAGACTGAAGCTGCTGTTGTAATGAAGTTAGGCAAGTGACAAGAAAGTTTGTGCTCTTTTTCCCTTTTTTTTGGGGGGGGGTGTCTTAAGTACATAGATTCCTTGGGTTGAGCAAGTACAGCAAGGACAAAGGCAAAATGGACTACTAAATTGGCAATGCTTACCCAGTCACATGACCACTTCATGGTCGCACATGTAGCCCAGCTCTTAATGTAATCTTCTACATCTGCTTTAATCCCCACCCACCTAGTCACATGACCGCCCAGCCATGACCACCCAGTCACATGACCACTTAGCCATGCCTACCCAGCTGGTCTGCCCCCTCAACAGTGTGAGGGACCATGAATCGGCCCCCTGTTCAAAAAGTTTGAGGATCTGTTTTAGCATCTCGCTGAACTTGAGATTCTGCACGGACATGGCATTAATTCCACAGAAATCCACACAGAGCCTCATACCCCCCATCCTTCTGTTCTTTGAATAGCATTGGGGCTGTCATTTTAGATTTGATAGGTTGGATGCAGCCCCTCGCCAAATTGGCATCAATGTACTTTCTTAATTCACCCATCTCTTTAGGGGTCATGG